TTGAACTCAGGACCTCTAGAAGAACAGCCAGTGCTCTTAACCTCTGAGCCATCTCTCCAGCCCCTTAAATCCTTTTTTGACTTAACATTAATTACTTTGTGTATTTTCCTGTTTCATGAATGATCTAATTAGAATCACACATGAAAGCTCTTCTCAGTCAGTCATTCTACAGTTTGTAAGAACCACAACAAAAATGTTAGTTGTTAAATCTTAAGAACCTGAGAGATGTGTGTTGATATTACTGATGAGAAATATCCAATCATTTTTGTCCTTGTGCAGCCGAGAGAGAAAAGAGGAAGGATGAGTTACTTGATATTGCCAAGTCAAAGCAAGATCGTACAAATTCAGAGCTACACAATCTAAGACAGGTATGTTCCAGCTGTCCACTGGGACCATAGGCAGGGAATGTTGGGGAATTAGGAAGATGTCTGCCTGTTGATTTTGTGTGTATGTGTGTGGGGGGGTGGTGTTTGTTTGTTTGGGGGGCTTTTTTTTTTTTAATGAGACAGGGCCATCCTGGAACTTGCTCTGTAAACCAGGCTGGCCTCGAACTTAGAGACTGACTTGTCTCTGCCTCGAAGTGCTGAGATTAAAGGTGTATGCCGCCATCACCCAGCACCTGTTGATTTTGTTAATGGTGCCTCCTGGATGTTCACTATATCAGGCGTACGACATAGTTAGTGTAACAGATAGTGTCTTGGCTGTGGGAGTCAGAGTTTAGGAGACGTGACGTATGGAAATATCCTTCTGCTACCATAGGAGACAGCAAAGCAAACCATCCGGTCTGTTTTAGGATTTCAAAGTGCCAAACTGTTGATTCAGTTTGGATTTGTTCTTACTGTATTGATTTGTTGACATCTCTGGCAGATTTACGTAAAACAACAGAGTGACCTGCAGTTTCTTAATTTCAATGTAGAAAATTCTCAGGAATTAATACAGATATATGACTCAAAGATGGAGGAATCAAAGGCCCTGGGATGCAGGTAATCTTAGCTGATGGTATTGATGTTGATTTTCACTTCCTCTGTGCTTGCTGTAAGCCAGTACCTGCTGCTTTTTCTTGTACACTAGGAAATAAATCTGCGTACACTAATAATTACAATAATCCTAGTGCTGTGGAGGACCTGATGTGAGAATTTATGTGTAATCGGTAGGTGTCAACTAGTCATCTAACAAAAATAAAATCATAGGCCAGGTCTGTGTGTCTGTGAGTAAAAGGCTCTGAGCCCGAGTAGACACTGCAGATGACCAGGCCTTCAGTAGTGCAGCCCGGCCATTGTTTAGGCGATGGACTTACTGTAGAATAAGATCTGTGGGACTTGCTACTGGCCTCAAAGAATAATGCAAAGAATAACATCAGTGGCTGCAGCAGGGGCTCAGCTTTTCCTGTTTGCCAGTTAGTAGGAGGCATCCTTCCCTCGATTGTGACAAGAATTGTGGGGATGAAGGGGCTGGAGAGATGGCTCAGTGGTTAAGAGCACTGGCTGCTCTTCCAAAGGTCCTGAGTTCAATTTCCAGCACCCACATGGTGGCTCCCAACCATCTGTAGTGAGATCTGGCGCCCTCTTCTGGCCTGCAGGGGTACATGCAGGTAGAATACTGTATACAGAATAAATAAGTCTTAAAAAAAAAAAAAAGCATTGTGGGGATGAGTGTGAATCCAAAACACTTGGAGTGGCTTGATAGTGCAGATGAACTACCACGGCGAAGTCCATTTCCTTCCTTCTTCTTTTCTCTCTCTTTTGTTTTTGAGATATAGTCTCACTAAGTCGTCACCCTGGCTGGTCTTACACTGATGGCAGTCTTCCTCTTTACTGGGATTACAGACCTGTGCTGGCATGCCTAACTAAAGCCACTGTGCTTTTCAAGAAGAGGGATCCCATCTAGAGGGGCTACGAAGTCTGAACTGGATTGTCAGTGACTGGTGACTCCAGCTCCCTGGGAGAACTGGAGTCGGTAGCTGCAGGGCCAGGGCATGAGAGCTGTAACCGCAGCTGGCAGCAGCAGGCTTCACTGTGCTGCGCTGTGCTTCTCTCCTCAGACCCTCTGCAGGAACTGCCACTCTGTGGCTCTGTGTCCCATCTATGGCTGCTACCAGCAGGCCAGGCAGGCCCACGCAGTGTTCTCTTTCACGCAGAAGCCTTTGACCTATGTCTTCACTCTTTGAACTTCATTGCCACTGGGAGGCACTGGATGAGTTGAAGTTGCTTCTTAGAAGTAGTTCATGCCATGGCTGGCAGGATGGCTCCAGAGGTCATGGCACTTACCACCAAGCCTGAAGACCTGAGCTCAATCCCCAGCCCCCATGTGGTACAAGGAGAGAAGCAACTGCCATAAGTTGTCCTCTGACCTCCATCTCTCTCTCTCTCTCTCTCTCTCTCTCTCTCTCTCTCTCTCTCTCTCTCTCTCTCTCTCTCTCTCTCTCTCTCTTTCTCTCTCTCTGTCATACACACACACATTCAACCAACCAGCCAACCAATAAATGTATAAAGTAAAAAAGGAAGGAAGGAAGTGGCTCAGGCCATCCTGGAAAGAAAGAGCTGTGCTTTCTCAGGGATCACAATTGGTGACTACAAGCCCAGCATGGTTTGCACGCCTGTATTCCTAGTACTCAGGAAGATCACAGTTTCTAGGCCAGCCTGGGCTACAAGTGAGAACCTGTCTCAAATCAAACATAAAATCCCTGATAGGAAAAACCTTAGAGGGAAGCATGGCAAAGGTCTTGTTACATTTCTCTAGTGGTTTTGACTTTGTTGCTATTGTTCTGATGGTAAACGCAATGAGCGAGGGATGGGAAGGGGAGGGAATGTAGACTTGATGTTCAGAAAGGCATCACCTCCTATGTTCACCTGTAGGAGGTGGGGCTGAAACTGGGCTCTGAAAGTCAGACCAATGGGTTTTATTGGGATTTAGGACCACTAATGAGGCTTGGGGGAGGTAATACTAGTAGATGATAGTATCAAATTTATCTTATAACTCCTATTTTTTTGTAATGCCACTGTAGCAGAGACATGTGTTTATCAGACCTTGACAATAACTACCCAAAAATCGATATTAAGAGAGAGAGAAATCAGAAGTCATTGGTTAAGGATCAAAAGTTTGAGGTCACGTTGGCTCAGCACAATAGGTCAGACAAGAGCTCTTGTGACGTGTGCAGAGAGAAGAAGCTGCAGGTTAACACTGCGTTTGGGGAAAAAAGTGTAATTGCTCTCTCGTCTCTGTTTACCAAAGACTTACTGGAGAAACAAAAGTCTTGGTCTCTGGGTGGAAAAATCCAGACTGAACCGGAAAACAAAGTTACACTATGCAAGATTCATGCAAAATCTCCAAAAAGCAATGGACTAGAGCTTCAGATAGAAGAGAAGCAGCTCTCGGAAACATCCATCTCGCTGCCCGAAGAGAAACAGTGGCATGACATCAACGTTTACCTGGGCCTTTCTAACTGCTCTGTTGCGAAACAGCCGGAAAAACCTGATGGGGACTGCCACGACCCCGCAGATATGTCTGAAGTCTCATGCTGCACCCAGAATGAAGTCTGTATGGGGGACAGTGACCTGTGTGATTCCAAGTGCTGCCACCCGAGTAACATCATCGTCGAAGCCCCAGGACACATGACTGACGTAGAGTGGATGAACATTTTCAAGCCTTCCAAAATGCAAAGGATTGTTCGCCACAAAACTCTGTGCACTTGTTCAGGAGGTGTCAGTGGAATGAAATATAATTCCTCAGCAAGGTTAGTGACGTTCACCTCTGTAAAGACAGGTGCATAAGCGACCACAGGCTCAGACAGGGCTGCAGTAGACATGTATGCCTATGGCCAGCGAGAAGGCACCGTTTGCACACTGCAGTCGCACTTAAGACAAACCTTGTGCTCTTTTCCTCTTGGCATAGACACTTGAGTCTTTGTGCAGGAAGACTTTATAGACTCCAATAAAGAGAGTTTGCACTGAGGGCGGCTTCTGAGGCAGAGGTTTTACTTAAAAATAAAACCAGTTATGAATTGGGCAAAGCTGTTTTGTTAGAAAACAAACAAGTAGGTCACTGTGCGGAGAGGAATGTTGTTCTGGAGCATTCCTCACCCTAGGATCCTTTCCATTTGATAGGCTGACCCTTTGAGGCCCAGACTGACTGCAGTACAGACCCCAAGTCACAGTTTCTGTTTGTTCTTATCTAGGATCATGCCACATGGCACATACCCATGATGCCTCACCTCTGTGTCCAGCTCATACCTGTTTTCAGTTCCCAGGCGCCTCTGTGTCTAGCTCCTATCTGTTTTAAACTTTTCATTTCCTACGCTTTCATATTTTTTAAATAAGTGAAAGACAGAACATTGGTGTTTAACAAGCTGATAAAAGCTACTGGCTTCTTTTTTCATAAGACAATTAGTATATGCTAAATTATTCAAGCTTGTCTTATTGTTAGAGTTGCTGAATCTTGTGGCTGAGTGGCACTGTAATAATGCCTGCTATTTTTAAGTAAAGCATAGCTCTTCAGAGCACAGAAAGGATGAAGTTTCTATATTGAGAGCCTTTTCTAATCATTGCATTGACTTTCACAGGACTTTAGGATTAAAATTTCTAGTACTTACATTATGTAGGGTATTCTTTGAGCCTTTTAAAGAAGCTTGAGTCATTAAAAACCATACAGATATTCTGCCAAGTGCAAAATTAAAAATCATTTGCTATACTAAATGTCATTAAGTCATTTGGTTTTTAAAGATCTTTGGAATGCTGCAAGTATCAGGAAGGCATAGCTGTCTGTTTATCCCTAGTAAGCAAGATCTTGTGTGTGTGTGTGTGTGTGTGTGTGTGTGTGTGTGTGTGTGTGTGTGAGTGTGTGTGTGTGTGTGTGTTGCTGGGAATTGAAATGGAGGCTTTGCTCATGCTGGGCAGGGGCTCTGCCACTAAGCTACAGCCTTGAGAACCATCCCCCAGAAAACATTCTCTATTAGTAGGGGAAAGCCTACATTGGGTAGTTTTGAGAGCTGTGTGTGTGTGTTAAATTGAGTGTACAAATAAATTCAAATTTACATTCAGGGTTTTCCTTCAAGGCCCCTTTGACCTCACTAACTTCAGGAATTTAATGTCAGCTTGTTCTGCCAGCTGAGCCACCTGCTCGGGCCAGTGCGTGATTAAGTAGGAGATAGTGGTGTTTTCCTGTTTCCCTCAGATTACAAGAACCTGTGTATCCACTTGATTATCTAGGTGAATGTTCACTTTGTGCCTCTTTCCACTAACCAAGTGAGGTCTCGTGGTGAGGGCAAGCACAGCACTTGCTCTTCTGTGTTTCCTGAGCTCTGGTACCTGCAGGGACACCTGCCCGGTGCCGCTCCACTTTCACAAGTGTGTCATGGGCATGCGTCATTTCACAAGCCAGAAGCCTAACTTTTCACGGTTTATTCTTACACTGTTAGTAGTGCTTACCCCTGCCGTCTGTGGGATCTTATCCCGAGCACCTTCTTGGTTTTTTTCACTAAAACTGTTTCTTTTGTTTCAGAGTTTGAACCCAGGGCTGAGAATGTTAAGCCAGTGAGCTTGCACCCCTAGCCTCCATACTTTAAAAAAAAAAAAAAAAACTACATTTATTGATTAGTGTGTGGAGTTCAGAAGACAACTTAGGGAGTTGGTCCTCTCCCACCATATGGGTTCTAGAGATGGAATTCAGCCCCCCAGACTTGGTGGCAAGCAGCTTTACCCATTGAGCTATCTTGGTCCTTCTGTGCACTAAAGCTTCATTTATTGGTTTTTTTGAAACGGGGTTTCATTGTATAGCTCTGGCTGCCTTTGAACTCACAGAGCTCCATTGGCCTCTGCCTCCTGAGTTCTGGGATCAAAGGCGTGCTCTACCACGCTGGACTTGGTGGTTTTTTTTTTTGTTTTGTTTTGTTTTGTTTTTTTCCTGTTCTGTTTTTTTTAAAGGCTTTTTGAGACAGGGTTTCTCTGTGTAGCCCTGGCTGTCCTGGAACTTGCTCTGTAGACCAGGCTGGCCTCAAACTCACAGAGATCCGCCTGCCTCTGTCTTCTGAGTGCTGGGATTAAGGATGTGTACCACCACTGCTGGACTAAAGGTTTAAAAATACATTTTTTAAATAATTTTATCTTATGTATATGGGTGTTGTCCAGAAGAGGACACTGGGTTCCTTGGTACTAGAGTTAAAGCCAATTGTGAGCTGCTATGTGGGTTCTGAGAACTGAGCCCAGGTACTCTTCAGAAGCAGTAAGCAGCAGTGTGTGTGTGTGTGTGTGTGTGTGTGTGTGTGTGTGTGTGTGTGTGTGCGTGCAGTTGTTTGTAGAGGCCAGAAAAAGGTGTCAGATCTCTGGAAGCCCGAGTTGCAGATGGTTGTGAATGACCATGTGGGTGCTAGGAATGAACTTGGGTCCTCTGTAAGAACAGCACATGCTGTTAACTGGTGAGCCATTTCTCTACCCCTACCTCTGTACTTTTTGAAAGAGGAAAATTCCTTGTTTTTGTAGTTACCCTGAACTACAGATTTTAATTTTTACTTGCAAAAGTATGTGTTAATGTGTAATATGCTACTCAGATCAAATTATTCCATTCAACTTTGACTTCATTTCAGAAAACATGTTTAAGCTAGAGGTGGTAATGTATGCTTGTTAGCCAAGTTTGAGGCCAGCCTGGGTTACATAGCAAGACCCTGTCACAATCTTTTTTTTTTTTCTGTGTAGTTTTGGTGCCTGTCATGGATCTCTGTAGACCAGGCTGGCCTCGAACTCACAGATTCTGCCTGGCTCTGCCTCCCGAGTGCTGGGATTAAAGGCGTGCGCCACCACCGCCCGGCTACATTCTTCTTTGTTTTCCCTCTCTCTTTTTACTTTTTCTTCAGACAGCATTTCACTCTGTCCCCTAGGCTAGCATGGAACTTACTGTGTAGCTCAGGCTGGCCTAGACCTGTGGTGGGTTAATCTTCCCGCTTTGGCTTCCTTACCAAGTGCTGGGATTATAAATCTGAGCCACACGCCGGCCCTTTTTGGTCCTCTTAGCGTACTTTGAAGCATATGAGTGACAGGTGTGTGACACTGTTTCTTTTTGGTCTCGTTTGCAGTGAGCTCATAACCATCCAGCCCCCGCAGTGTTTGGGGTCCTCCAAGTCTGCTGAAAGAGAAGATGAGTCAGGGGCCTCTCCAGACAAAAGAACCTCATCCAAGAGCGTGTTCATCAGCAAAGATGCAGCACTGTCCAATGAAAAGGTTTATGTTTTACATGAAAGCTCCCAGTTTAGACAGCAAAGTTTCTCCTTGGCATGCTTTTATTCTTCTGTAGCATTGTTGCTTAATTTTGGCCATTTCTAGGTTTTCCCATCACGGGCTTGTGTGACTGAACCTTCTTACACACTGGAGAGATGGTTCAGCAGTTAATGCTTGCTGCTGTTGGGCAAGACCCAGGTTTGGTGGCTCACAACCATCTATAAATCCATTTCCAGGAGTCCTCTTCTGAACATCATTCACACGTGTGCTCGTGCATACAGGCAAAACACTCATACACATAAAATAAAATGCATCTGAATGTATTTTGGGGGTTTTCTCTTGGGGGCGGTTAGTTTTTGGTTTTTTGAGACAGGGTCTCTCTACATAGACCTAGCCATTATGGAACTAGTATCCTGGAACACTCTGTAGACCATGCTGACCTCAAACTCAGAGAGATCCTCCTGCATCTACCTCCTGAGTGCTGGGACTAAAGGCATGTGCCACAATATCTGGCACTAAATTTATTTTAAGTCATAGGCCTCTAAGGTTACTTGAAAATTTTTATTCTTTCACAATTTTATACACACACACACACACACACACACACACACACATACACACACACCCTCTTAGATCTTGTACTTTTCCCCATGGTCTTCTCATCCCTTTTTAGGTTCTTTTCTTTTCTTTCTGTGTTTT